GTAGTCAGCTGAAGATCCAGGCCAAGGCTCCTGGTTTTCCTTCAAGGCTGCCGCCACAGCACAAGGGGACAAGCCCGACCCTGCCTGGGAGAGGGAGGTGGGGGGGGGGGACCCATCCCCAGGGGTCCCCCCAGGCCCAGGCCCAAAGGGTCTCTGGGGTGAAGCCAGAAGATTCTTAAGCTGTAGAATATTTTAACGTTGATGTCGCAATGCAGAGTGATGCCTTGTAGATGGAACTTGCAGGTGGAGCCCAGGGAACCTCTCATTGCCTACCTGCCTGCCTGCCTGTGCTTTGGTCGGAGGAATTCTCAGTGTGATGATGGAACTGTGGGAAATGTTCAAGTTTGAAGTGCCTTAGGCAAATGCTTGGTGAAGCAAGTTGGGGTGGGGATGATTGGATTGTGCTGCAGTCTGGTGGGGTACAAGTTAGTCATGCCCAAATTCTGTTCGAAATGGCAGGTGTATACAGGAAACTCATACAACTTAACAAAAGGAAGATAAACAATCCAATCAAAAAATGGGCAAAGGACCTAAATAGACACTTTTCGAAGGAGGACATACAGAAAGCCAAGGGACATATGAAAACATGCTCAAAGTCACTAATCATCTGAGAGATGCAAATCAAAACGACAATGCGGTACCATCTCACACCTGTCAGAATGGCTATCATCAACAAATCCACAAATGACAAGTGCTGGTGAGGATAAGGAGAAAAAGGAACCCTCGTGCACTGCTGGTGGGAATGCAGACTGGTGCAGCCACTGTGGAAGACAGTATGGAGTTTCCTCAAAAAACAAAAAATGGAACTCCCATTTGACCCAGTAATCCCACTTCTAGGAATATATCTGAAGAAAACAGAAACACCGATCAGAAAGGAGATATACATCCCTATATTCATAGCGGCACAATTTACCATAGCTAAGATTTGGAAACAGCCTAAATGCCCATCAGCAGATGAGTGGATTAAAAAACTGTGGTACATCTACACAGTGGAATACTATGCTGCGGTAAAAAGGAAAGAACTCCTACCATTTGCAATAGCATGGATGGAACTGGAGGGCATTATGCTAAGTGAAATAAGCCAGTCAGAGAAAGACACATAAATATCACTGATCTCACTCATTTGTGGAATATAATGAACAACATAACCTGATGAACCAAAATAGGTCCTGAGACAGAGAAGCACGGAACAGACTGTCAAACCTCAGAGGGAAGGTG